CCATGTCAGAGTTTGGATTTATTACTGATGCCATAGGCCATTTTCTTTTCATTTTGACTGTAATGCCATTCTGAGCCTCTGCCAGCCTTTGAGAGCAGAGTCATTTGTGAGTTGACCCCCTGCTTCACACCCTTCATTTTTCTCACTTTGCAGGTTTTGACTGAGCTAATGCTTTCAGGAAAAAAGGCTTATTGATTAGAGTGAAGTGGCTTGCAGCATCTGGGCTTTTATTGGTTGAGTTTGTGAGGTGTTTTTAGCCATTTGGTGGAGGTGCAGGTACTGTTTGTTTACACATTCAGTAAATCCTGCTGTCTTCTGTGCTCTGGTTTCTCAGAGCTTTCTCACTTCGTCCACTCACCTTGTCACCTGCCCAGAGCAGCCCTGTTAGGATGGAAGCATGTGCCAGCATCACCTCATCTGTGCTGAAGAGCATTCTTCTCCTCCTCCGCATTTTAATTTGCACATTGTCTTTCATTCCAAAATACAAAAATGGCCATCAACCCTCATCTGCACATGATTTTTGTTATTAGCTAGATGTTATAGCTAAAAGCAAGTGGATATTCTGTTAGGATTATCTAGAGCAAGCTTCCTTCAACTACAGCAAAGATGTCCCAGCATGAGGAGTCAAGTCAGAATCAGGGATTGCAATAAGCATGCATCTGATCACATCAGTCAAAGGAAGACTGCATAATAGAAAAAAATAGTCATAACAAATCATTGTAGTCATATTTCTGTATATTCAAGTGTGTGGTGATAATGTTTTATGCTGTTTCTTCGTTGTGTTCTCCAATATAGTCAAAATATATTGAATAAGGATTATTATAATAGTGTGAGTAGTCCTACAAAGCCACATGAAAACTGAACCAAGACTCTCCTGAGTTTGCCCTGTTGCCTTCAGAGGCATGTTAGTGAAGAGAAATTAAGACATTTGTGTTTAAGCAGTGTTGCCACCTGATTCTCTCCCTCCCTCATGGCTCACTATCTCCTCTTTTCACTTCCATTTACTCCTCCCCGTATCATCTGTCAGGCGAGTTATGTGCAAGTCCCTTGTGTCACTTAGGAAATAAGTGGTGTTTTGTATATCACATCAAGACTAGAGCTGTTTTTCTGGAAATTGCAAAGAGTTTTATTTCCATCCTGGCTTTGCCACTTGTTAAACATCTTTGGAAGACACTGTACAAGTTATCCAGAAGCTTGAGCACAGAGATTTTGGTGACCATTTGCTAAAACAACTAAACCTCCAGTCATGAGCTCTTATTAGAGTGTGAATCTGGGAAGCTGTGTGGATAAAGTAATAGCATGATTTGTTGGGGTTGTAGCACTTACAGAAGACTCTTGACTCAAGAAATTGAAGTATAACGAGAAAGTAGGGGTGTCTACTCTGAAGGGACAGTTTAGGCCTTTTAGATTTCTCCTGAAATTATAGGAGATAAGCACAGAGTCAGACCAGTCTACTGATGAAACTTTTCATCAGTCTGTTTTTTCAGCTATGGAAACAAAGTAAAATGTCTCAAAATGGTTCCTTTCTTGTGGGACTTGAAGTCAATGCAGATATTCTTGAAATCACAACTATTTGATCTGAGTAGAGTAAGATCACCAGAAAAGGACCCAATGATTAAAACAGGAGCTGTTGTGGTTACCACAGTCCATTGGCTCTGTAAATTGTGTGTAGTGCCTTCCCAGCTAAAGAATTTATATTGCTTAGGAGATTGAGCAAGTCCCTGAAGTGACTTTCAGATAATGTTAGTGACCTTTTAACCCACATTAGCACATTTCCTTGAACTCTGAAAGTTGTTAATCTTGCTAATACAAATAGGAACTTGCAGCTTAACATTTCTTAGTTGTGTGAGTAGTAAGCGGTGGGCTTCAGCAATTAGCCTCTCTGGAGCCCTGCTATGTTCCTACAGGCTCTTGGTGTTAAACCTCAACATTGCTAATAAGAGAACTACGTAATGTGCATAAGAACATGAGAATCATACTTCTCTTGTTTCTGGATTCCTCTTCTAAAAATTAGATTGGTTTTGCTAACTTTTGGGGTTTTTTTCAGTTGAGATATGAAAGCAAGTGCAAATCAGCACGTGCAGCAAAGAAAAAAAGGGAAAAGTCACCTTAGAAAATGAGCATGCACTAGTCCTCAAGCTAAAAAGCAGCAGGAAATATTGGGAAAATAACTCTTTCTAAGATGTCCAGATTTATCAAAGCACTTATCTACACAGCATGAAGAAAACAAGCCCCTGCATGTGTCAGTCTTGGGCGTAGGTGCACATACCAGTGTATGTTTTTGTAGGGAGAGAAAACACACCTTAAGGAAATGTAAAAAATAATATCTGTGGTTACTGAAAACAGAAGGAGAGAGAGAGAGAGAGAGAGATAAACAGCTCTTTTTTCATCAAGACCGCTGCATGCTCGGACATTTAATGACAATGAGCTCATTGATTATGGACTGCTGGAAGCAGAGGTTCTTCAGAAAAATATGAAGTAGTGACTTGTTAGTTCCTCTCTAAATTGGTTAGTTCTCTTCTGAATGCTCAATCTTTCAAATGCCTTCCTTGAATGGGTTAAGTAGTTGTTTTACTCAACTTGTGATGTGGAACCATGTGAAGTCCCTGGTCAAACCACACCTGCTGGACAATTATAAATAGAAATATTACAAGGAGGGGAAAAAAATAAGGCATATATTTTTTACAATTAAAATAAAATATAAGGAAAGTGATTTGCCAAATAACAAAAATTTTAAAATATACCTCTTTTCTGTAAAAAAATTGTTATCACCCTCATGAACTGGAGCAATTGTTATATTCGTGGTAGCTGAAGAGTGCTTGGCTGTCATAAGAAGTCTTCTGCCCATAAGTCCTGTTGTACTTTACGTACAAGCATTTGTTACAGCTCCCAAAGTATCTGCCAAATATTCTGCTCCCCTTTCGCAGATGGTGAAACTGTGGCACAGCAAAGCAGCATGACTTGATAAATCCAGATCATGTGTCCTGTCTAATATCTTAACCACTGGCAATTCCCTGCCAAGATTGGCTGTCAAAGTTATCTCCTCAGGAAAAAAAATAAATAAAAATCTAAATTTAAAATATAAATGAAACTTAGTGAAAAACCTAGGTCTGGATGCAGCTGCAGAGTTTTGGGGAGGAGCTGTACAGCAGCATGAGCCTCCCAGTGCTGTTGGGTCAGGATCACATACGCAGCCCATGGAGATGTTAATGGTGTGAGGACATGGCCCTTGGACGCCCTGTCCAGCTTCATATGTTAGCACTTATAAAATATAAGCCTAAAGAGTCCCTCAGTCATTTAAGGAAACAGAAAAACTGCAGCTCAGACCATCCCTACAAAACCTGACATTAAAACAAAAGTCCAGGCTATGTGTTCTGAGTTTCCCCTTTGGTTTTTTGTACATGAATTTTGTGGATATAAAGCTGAGCAAAGTACTACAAATAGGGCAAACCCCTCTTTTTTTCCTTTTAGGATCGTCAGAACGCTCATAATAGGTATATTTTTTTCATTTTAATGTAGTCTAAATTCAAGCAGGACTAGTAAGAAATTGCTGCAGCATAGCTTATACTCAAACATACCAACACTTTTTTTGACGATATTAAGCCTCAGAAAGAAGCTTCTGAGACAAACTATCTACCTTAGGTATTTCTGTGTTCTGTATCACTGTAGCATGTAAGCATGTCACGATCCTTAATAAACTTGTTTCCATATTCTTTGTTGATAGAAAATGGTATTATTCCCATTTTACACAGTGGGAAACAGGACAGAGGTTAAATAACTTGTCCACAGTAAGAAAGCTGGCATTGGGGCCACACTTTCTCTTTAAGAGGCAAAAGCCCTTTCTCCTTCAACAGCTTTGTGAATGCTTGGTAACTCTTCTCTCTGAGAGCCTCCAGTAACATGCAGGTTAGCAGAGTCTCCTGCAGTAGATGCACATCAGGGAGGTGATGTGCCCCACCAGTGTCAGTGGGGCTACCGACACACTTCAGTGTGTCCACCAGCCTTGGTGGGTTGGACTCAAATGGTCAGTCAGCTTGCACCACAGTCCTGACTCCAAATGAAAGGATGAAACTGCAGAGGCTCTTTATGCAGATAACTTCAGTCAAAACTGATTGATACTTAAAGTCTGGGCTGGTTTAATTCTTCTGTAACCGGCAGAAGGATATCGCTATGTACAGTATCTTACTAGAAAGCAGCATCTATTGAAAGATATCAGAAGGTGCTTATCTACTTTAATGTAAGTGTAGAAGGTGTTTCTTTTGGATCTTAACAAACCCTGTACTTGATACCTACCTTAGCAGTCTCTTTCTCTCAGTACTCAGAAGTCAACATTTTTTTGCAGTCCTTTCTTACCCATACTTTTATTTTCCCTTCAGTCCTTTCATGTTTCTGACTTAAGGGCCAGTTACAAACCTTACACAATTGCAGACAAGGGTGTTGACTTTCCTGGGTTTCAGATTTAACCTATGCTGGAGATTGTCCCCTCCTCTGGACAGCACTAAATCTTTCCTGCTAGAGATAACTAGTCCTTGGGGCTCATAGCTGTACTTCTGAAGACAAAAATGTTTTGCCTTTGGTATGAACTAGATTGCACCACACGGCAGGTAATTTCAAAACATTTCTGAGGAAAACATCCCTTTGGGTCCATCTCGAGGCCTTTGCTGGTAGAGGACACAAGGCAGTGTGTGATGCTATCAATACACCTTCATTATTTTCCCAGGGAACAAAGCGGTGAGGCTCAGTGGTGACACTTGCCAGCTTGAAGAGGAAGGGTCTTTCTCCAGTTTTCCTTTTAACTCCATAATTCAGGGAATTTATCACAGACCAACGTGGAAATCTCTGTGTTGGCCCCATTCAAAAACACTGTCTGTTGACCAGGCATCGGCTCTGAGAGCAGCGTGTTAAGCTGACACAGTGAATAGATTTTTCTAAAGAGAGAAAAGTGCTTTGCTGCGGTGTTGTCTTTACTAATGTATATTCTTCTGCTTTCCATCAAACAGTCAATGAAGGCTCAGGTGAAACCAATCAAAAAGAGACATCGACCTGTGACATTTGCCAGTTTGGGGCAGAGTGTGATGAAGATGCAGAGGATGTTTGGTACAGTAATTTGATCTACTCTTCTATTTTAATGAATGTTGTATTATTTAAAGGTACTGTGGTGTAGAAAGCATTAAAAATATTAGATATTCAATTTTCTGCACCCAGAGATTCATCACATGGTGATTGAGGTGGTTGTTACTCTGAAAAAATGTATAAAACAGTCTGCTTTGTAATTTTGGAACATGTACAATTTAGACAAAGTCTAGAAACAGAGTTATCCATTTTGTTGCTCTTGTAACTTATGTTATTCCATCTGGAGTTTTACAGCTTTATACTTTGGTAAAAATAGACTTGGGAAAAATAATTGACCTAAAGCTTTTCTGGTTAAAAAGTATCATTAGTATTATCATCATGTTAATTCTTGTGTGGCATTAGAAATACTGGGAAATCTGTCTTGATTTTTGCTGGTTGCTGGAGTTGAGGATCTAACCCTCAAATGTTTGAGATAATTAGAGTGTACGTTTAGACATTTGCTCAATGGAAATGGTTTTATTTTTTATTTTTTAAATGAGGTTTCAAAAATATTCAGGTTTTTAATTATTTTAAACCTTTGCCACATAATTCTATATACTCAGATTTTTTTTTCATTTTGCCTAGAAACTATGCAAACATATATTAAGTCAACTTTAAGCTAATAATTTCATTGTGATTTTGGAACAGCCAATAGATCAAAAAAGCCGCTATTCAGAGCTGTACTTCTAATACTGCCTTAGTGCCAAGCCTCATATTTCTACGAGGCTTTCATATTCTACCTATAAGTAATTGATACAAATTTAGAGAGACACGAAATAGTCATGCAACTGTTAGAGCTGTTGTCTGGATGATGCTTCAGAAGCTGTGGGCTGGTGGTGGCTAAAGGATGGATACAGAGACTGGGCAGTGAGATGTCAATAAAGTAATATTTTCTGGACTCTAACTTGAATGCTAGGAATGGACCAAAGAGAGAGGAGTCAGTGAATGAATGAAAGGAGAACATGATAATTTGGTCTGGTGTTGGGCAGCTGACCTAATCCAGGCAAAGCATCCATGCACTGTTGGTCAGGCATGAAATTATGAACATTTCTGCTATTCGGTGAAGAAGCTTAGGAATATGGTCATCCATTTATGCTCGTTATGGTTTTGTCTAACCAGACTTTTAATAACTGCTGGTTCTAGCCTTTAAAAAACGAAGTAAACAAACTAGAGAGGCCTTGCTCTGCTTCCAGTCATCAGAAGAAATTACAGTGTTGAAAAACAGCAAAACTCATCATGGTTATAGGTTTGCAATAATGTGATGAGATTTGTGCGAAAGAAATTGCTTGATTTTGACTTTGCTTAAGGAAATTACCCCAGGTGTCAGAATTTTCATTGTCTTCTTGACCAGTCGTCCTTGAGAGTTTTGGTGGTGTGGTTTAGAAACAAAACCGCAGTAAAATTAATATATCAAAATGCACAGTCTAGTGCTCATGTTTTCATAATTAAGTGCACTTCCAAATTGGAAGGCAGGAGAAGAGAGGGGCAAGGAATAAAATTAGCTACAAGATAACGTGATTAATCATAAGCACTGAGTAGCCAGTGTTTATTTTTTCCAGAAATAGCTCAATAAAATAGCCTGATCCAACTTACCCCAGTAGTGTTCCCACTGCAGCTATTGCACTATATAATTCCTCCCCTTTGAAGCAACTTGTCTTATACAGAGCAGCATAATGACTGCAGGAGCTGAAGTTCTCAATCTTTATTGACAGGCGGTCTTTCTGCAGGGAAAGATGCTTCACGGGTAGGAAGCAGGGAAGGGCATTTACTGGGAAGACGCTACCAAACTATTAAAAGGCAGGAAAGCAGATTTCCAACCAGAAGTACAAAGACCATGTAAAGCCTGTTAAAGGTCTGCTTTGAAGCAAACAACTTCATATGCCGTAACAGAGCACTCTTTTCCTGTCCCTGCCCCCTGATTAGTCTTGGATAAATGTCTTTCTGAAAAATGAGCCTTCTGGGTGTTAGCTCTTTGTTATTTTTATTTCTAGAATAAAAGCAGACTATGTATGGGGAATCTAGATCCCTCTTTCAAATGTACGTTAATTGAATTTCCATGTTTGGCACCAGATAGACATACTCCTCCGTTCCCCCTGCCAAGATTTGATGTGCAGAAAATGTCCTTAGATCAAGTGGGAAAAGAAATTTCAGTTGATTGTTTGATCACTGTTTCTATTCAGGTGAAATTTCAGATGTAAGCAGGGCTCCTTTAGCTGTTGCACCTGACTGATGAGGTTTGTAAAATGCAAATGGGGTCAGTGGGTCCCCGTGGCTCCAGGACCTGTTGTTACAGGGTGACGAGCCCACCACCGGCAGTGTCCCCTATCAACTAGAAACAGTTTGAGGGTGCAGGGTCAGGGCATGATCCATTCTAGGTAAGAGGGATGCAAGCTGGTTGCAGGGCCAGACCACAGAGAGCTGGAGATATGAGGCTGGCTGTTCGCCTAATATTTCTAGGGTGCCAGAGCAGATCAGAGAAGAGAGCACAGGTGTGATAGCAGATGTGGTTGGGCTGCTGATGATTTAAAGCCACAATTAACATTATTCTGCATTGCCACAGTCTGTTATTTTGCAGTCTCTTGTCTCTGGTTTAACTCTTTTTTTTTTTTTGTTATTCATTGCCAGTTGTCACTCAGCTAAATTGTGCTATTGTACTGTGTCACCATTATTTTTAAATCTTCTTATTTGTGTAAAACCAATCTGTTAATGGCTAGACTCCTGGGATTCTGTTAGAGGGTTTGTCATGTAGAAGACTACTCAAAGGGGTAAGATAAGTGTGTGAAAATTTTCTGGAAAGTACAGAGAAAAGACAGAAAAGAACCCACTGTAATAACAGGTTTTCTGCAGCAAGGTAAAGCACGCATCTAATATCACAAGAGTGAATGTAATTTGGCGTTCCATTAGTGAATCCCTTTCTCTAGGTTAAAAACAAAGACTGTTCAGTTGAAAGTCTTTAACATCTTGCTACTTTAATATGTGAAAGCTTCTTGTCACTAAGAGCATCGTGTATTACTGGCATTATTCCCACCTTTAATGCATTTTGCACCAGTGGGCTTCATGAATATTTAAAGCAGGGCAGTGGCTATGCTCTTTAGCACTGGATTGCAATCTATTGGTAAATCAGACATTTGGTGTTGCTTACTTTGGGTTTTATTTCTGAGCTGGCTAAGGAATAATTGATTTTGTAAGACAGGGCTACTCAACATAACACCCCAAGAGATATACTTAAATGGAAATGAAGAATGAAGCGTAACATTCTGAACCGTGGTGTATTTCTAAGATCTTCCAAAAAGCATCTATGAAATACTCTTACTGTACATAAATAGTACTCACCAAATGGAGTCCCTGCTCATCTGCTAAAGTGGCTTAGTGTCGGTGCATAACCACATCAGAAACCTGGATTCCAGTATTAATCTTCTCCTTATGGGCCACTGAGGAAATAAGAGCACTCTCTACACTGGACAAGTCATGGTTTGGATAGATATTGGGCAGCTATTTCAGAGGTGCACGATGTGTTCAAGTAAGTGGAAGGAGATAAATAATAGCAAAAACCCTTCTGTTGAATTTCCTGTTGGAAAATGCCAAGAAGAGAGGACAGGAGTATTTTCTTAAAACAAGATTAAAGCCTGCAAGCCTCTGACTTGTAGAGTTAATCAAAATCAAAATGATGAATTGGGGTTAAATATGCATGCTTTTCCTTTGAATTTCAATATCAGCAGGTCAGCCAGCAGCAGTCTCAAAGTGCAGCATTGGCCAGAATAAGATGCAGTTTGCTAGCTGTGCGAGACATGGAGAGATGTGTATGTAATGTGCTTGGGAGAGAGTGCTTTCCTTGCAGGCTGGCAGTGTCCGAGGAGGTGAGGAGGCCATCTCTGCAGATTGCTCCTCTGCCTTCCCCTTCCTCCCTCCCTCCTGGAGGTTGCAGGTGGAGGAGAGAGGCAGCGGTATCCCTGGCAGGAGGTGTCTGACCTTGAGTGGGCCACTCAGGGGTTTGCACCAGTGATAAGAGGCATAAATACCCCTGCTGCTTCCCCCAGCTCAACCCACGCACCCCAAGGACTTCTCTTTGGCTGAGCATAGGGATTTGTTCTCTGCCATAGGCACCGTGCTTGTGTCCTTCCTCCTCACAAGTCTGGCCCACACTGGAGGAGCCTTTTCCATTTCTTGCAAGTGGACAAGGATCCCAGTGGGCAGGTTCAGCTCAGGAGAAGATGCTGAAGCCATTCCGTGGGGACATTGTGTCCCTGATGACCCAAAGCTGGGAGCTTAGAGGAAGGCATCTGGGCCTTAGTGGAGGTGCTTGGCATGTCCAGTGTTTAGGTCAGTGGGTGAAGGAAGGAGCATCAGTCTCCTTTGTGGTGCAGCTGGGTGGTATTCCCAAGTGAGGTGGTGATGTTGCACCATAATTACAGCAGGTCCCTTGTGTCCTGCACTTCTTTCTACATGGCTGGGACAATAAACTCCCATTACCTACAGCAGACAGATACTCACGCAAAATGTATTAAGAAGATGAACTGTTTCAGTCTTTTGTTTCATATTTTACTGCTAATCACTGATATATATAGTTTGGGTAAATGCTTCAGTAAGGCAAGTGAACAGTCTGCAGCACATGATGATGGTGAAACTGCATTCTCATGCAAATGAGTGGTGTTGTACATGGGAGATATTTGTGCAAATCATGCAGCTGCCATCTGCAGTAACCTCTACAATCAATATTGCTCTAGCAATCAATATTTATCTTTATTATAGTATAGAAAGAAAACATATAAAAGAAACTAATGATTTTGCCAGCTTCTCAATCCACACAGCAATTAGGTCAGTCAGCTTTGGGTCCCTTCCCCCTTCCGTCAGTTGCCTTCAACCAGAGTGTCTGCAAACAAGAAGCTGTACTACCATAAAGTACTAAAAGGTAGTTTGAAAGCTCACATACATTACACGGGTATTGGCTGCTTCATGTTCAGCAGTGTGTATAATAACTATGTGTG